AGTGAAAATGTTTGGAATTGTCATAATCATAAGTCACAGACTACGGGGCAAGTGATTTATCGGAACTTTACCACCATTTCCACTGCGACCCAAAATATGTCTACATGTTCTTATTAATTCCAAGACTAAACTGTATTTCATTTTTGTTGATCTGTGTGAAGATACACCTTTATGCTATCCACAAAAGTCGCAAACAAGACAAGATTACTGGGATATCATCTGTTTATCCATGACAAAGACAACATCAGTGCCTCTTTTATTTTACAGAGCACACTACAAGTGAGCTAGTTTATATATTTCAAACAGAAATTCTGCGACCCAGTGGTGTTCCAGTGCATATTATGTGTATGTTTTCATTATTTCCGTGTACTGGGTCACCCAGTGCAATATTTTGCATCAAGTAATGTTATGTTACTGTTCTAGATTGCAATGAATACCATCTAAAATGATATGATAATATCTTATTGAAAATGAAGATTGATTTTGCTACTCTTTGAATGCCTTTTATTATATGACATTGCAGTGTTAACAAAAGTATCATTATATTTCTGGATTTCAATAAATCAATCTCAAATGATATGATAACATCTTATTTGAAATGAAGATTGATTTTGATAATCACAAAATGCCTTTTATCCAAAGATATTACAGTGGTAATACAGGTATCATGATATTTCTGGATTACAGTAAAAACCATTTGAAAGGATATGATAATATCTTATTGGAAAACAAGAATGCTAATCACGGAATAGCTGTCATCAATGTTATTACCGTGTTAACACAAGTACATGTATAACAGCTGAATATATCAGCAGATAATCTGTCATTTCATATGGTTGAATAGATCAGCTAACCTAGTCCTGTGTATATTGAAGCAACATGGGTCAGGCCACACAATTGGCAATAATACACATAGTAAAGCTTTGACAACTAGGTGAAATGATATGCCATGTAATGTATTGGCCTTGAAGGAAATGCTAATAGGGATGTGTATGGGAGTTTTATGCTCTTTAACAACACTGAATACGTCTACAGTTAGTACAGTAATTCTGCTGACCTTACAACACTTGCATTTGGGAGCTTTTTCAAGAGCGAACTGACAGACATGGTGAAAAAAATCCATATCCACTCATCCTGGTGGTACTTGTTGAGGAAAACTAAAAACTCTGTTGAATATTGTTGAGGAATTAAGTCAACAATTCAGTGTTTGTAATGATGATATTTATAGCTTTGGTATTTATATTTTCAAAAAATTATATTTTTATGTCACATTTTCATATCATTGATGAAATAATCAAAACTAATGAAATGAATGATGCAGATAGAAACTGACATATATTGATTGTCCTGAGGACATTGTTATTCAATAGTGAATGGTTTTAAAGGAAATAATTTCAGATTAAATTCACACAAAATGATACATTTTTTAATTAAAATTTCAATTCGATTTATATCCAAAGACTAATTACCCTTCAGCCATAACATCACTTCTCTTCTCATTATTACTGTTGGACAGTTTCTGGTGTCCCCTGCCATGATATTGCTGGGATATTGCTAAAAGCGGCGTAAAACTAAAATTCACTCACTCACTCACTCACTGTTAGATAGCTAGGCCTTGGTCCAGAGACAAACAATAAGAAAGGCTCGCTCTTATTCTCACTTCAGTAAGACAAGGTGCTCTTGGGAACCAATACAACAACAACTTTCACTGGCACATTGTGCTTCATACATGTATATTTAGTACTTGTTTACCTGTATTAAGCAAACTTTTATATACAGCAAGCTATTGACCTAACATTATCATTTACTACCCAGAACCTTACAGCAACCCCATGTATATTTACTACTGACAAAAATAAGGGAACTGATTAAATGGTAGTGAAGGTGTACAGACGATAAATATCTATAAAATTCTTTTCAGGCAGGTAGATCAATATCTGGTCTGTCCACCATGTTGGCAAATATATGCATGATGGCTTGATTTCATACTGTGGATTAACTTCCATATAGTTGCACTTGGTCATGCATGCTATTCTGCCCATAGAGCTTCCCCAGGATGAGACACTTTGGTTGGAGCTCTGGCATACATTCTGTAATGAAAATGATTTAGCAGGCCAGGATAATGTCTGTATGCCTTCCTGTTAGAGACAACCTGGGTAATTTATGATCTGGCATTGTCATCATGCAGTTCAAAATTTCTGCTGATAATTCTAGGGTGACACCCTTCTTAGAACACTTTGCTTTCAGACAAGCTCCTCACAGACATTTTCGAATTGTATGTTATAATTCGTCTTCCTGTTATTGTGCAGAATTCACTATTGATAACAGGAGCAGATATGAGTCTTGCTTGGTTTTGAGCCGACCACATCCAGGTCTCATTGCCACCCAAACTGTTGGACGATACTTTTCACACAGTCAAGAAATGACACTTTTTGCTTTGAAAAACACTGAGGCAACTTGGGATATTGACATCCTCTGCTCTATTTTACCTACTGTCCACCATTTTGCCTTTTTATTGAGATACTGTTTTTGAGGCATTTTATGTATGTGCTTTGCTCAGTTGCATTATTGACACTGGGTTCTCCTTCAGCCTCTCACACTATGGCTTCTGTGTGCTTAGTGTAAACATATTTTATTCACAATATATTGAACTAGGATTGGTAAACAACCTGTAATGGATTATTTGAATACCTCTCCATTTCATTGATACATGAATAAAACAAATATTAAATAATATGCAGTATGATAGGAAAGCAAGCAACCTGCGTATTGAACATCATTAATTATTTATCAAACCTATGCGAATTTATTATAAAAGTATGGACAGATTTTAGTATAAAAGAATTTATAAGTTTATTTTTGTTTGGATTACCATTTAGGACAGAATTAACATTATATCCACGTTCGTAAAAATACATGTGACATCTGACATTGGAATAATTAGGACAAGTAAAGAAGTAATGTAAAGTATCCTCATAGGGGTGACCACAGGAGCAGAATGGATGTGTTTGTACATCATGTACTGTTCCTTCATATTATGAATCATTGAAATAGAAATTAAGAATCATATCCCCTAATTTTCAGACTGCTGTTATCGGAACCATAACAATTTTTTAAATTTTTAAATGGTTGTTGTAGTTGAGGGGATCTAAGTGTGTAGAAAATTGGACATGCATGTTCAATCAGTGTCAAACACCTTTGCAATACAATTCCTTTTTGAACACATAGCCCTAGTAAATGTCCACCTCAACAACAGCTTCATTCAAATGGAGTTCACTTGCTTTTTGTAAGTTGTATAGGATTATACAAGAATTCATTGTTAATCATTGTGTCTCTAACATGTACAAGAATGCACTGAAACAAGTAGCTGCATACGATATAATGGGTATATTTCAATTATTAAATAAAATGTAATGGATATCTAGCTCTTATTTAACTACACTTTAATACCAGTCTTCCAAAGAAGTGTTTAGCACTCAGGCAGGTTACAGGAACGCTCATCAACATGTTATCATGAATGGGGCTGTCAGGTTCCTTTCAATGTTGGAGTGCTATATGAGGAGGGTGTTGTTGCCAGTTGATAAATCTACACCTGTAATTCTATACAAAGCATTTGAGATCTATTCCAAGTAGTTGAGGCATAGTAGATTAAAGCTAAAATCTTGTATCGAAGTATGAGTGAACACTAGCTGAAGTATTCTGCCATTGAGTGTTTTGTTGCAAGTGTAGGCAAGTTGTATCAGTCATGTATAGCCTATAAATAAATTGAATTTGACATACACGTACTAGTTTATTGGGGACTGCCAGCTGTTTATGAAATGACTCCAGCATAGAACTATTCAGATGTTGATTCTGGATTCTAAAAAGCAGATAATGCAAACCTATGTCACATAGCAAGACTGACACTGGTTGACAGTAACTTGACACTGTGGTTTTTGATAACAAGGTAGGGTTGCCCACCCTTTGGACACACCCTCTAGATTGGCCAGTGCTATTTTAGTCCCTTCAGAACAATCTCCATTGTGGAGCCAGTGAATCCAGAGTAGTAAAATACCCACTGTACTGACAACAACAGGAGAGACATTACTAATTATAAGGGTCTATGCATTACTAATTACACTGACATGGTCAAGAAGATGAGGTATTTCTGTCCACACTATAGCTAATATAGTCAATAACACAGGGTGCAGGTTCACAATCAACACACAATCAATACACATTTTCTGCTTTAGGTATTATTACTTGTTCAACACTACCTGGGAACCTGGATGTGGGTCTTGGTCAGTCAGTATTCTGGTATTGTATGCATTTAGTCTGTGGTTGGCCACTGTTTGCCTGAACATGAGCTTAGCATTATTATATGAACTTTAATTAGTTGAGCTAACTCTTTCAAACAGAATGTTACTAGACTTGGACATCAAACTTGTGGCTAAAACTACAGATTGCACACTTTAATTTGTTGTTCTACAGGAAAAAAGTAATTAAATGAATTATTTTACAATTAAATAGATTGATTTATATTCTGGTATGCTAGAATACAGTAATCTTTTGTTTGACAGTAAGTTCAGTCTGGCTATGGAAATAAAATGTTGGTGGAAGTCCATAAATAATGTCAGATTTGCAAATTTACACACAATATTGAACTCATCTGAAAGTGTGTTGAGGCACCTTATACACGTAACTGTTCATAATTATTTGTTTGTATGCAATGCCACCAATATTAAAATGTTACAGTCTGACTAGTTTCATCTTGTGGCATTTTGTTTGTTTGACCAAAAAGCCGTTAGAACCATATGTTCTAGGTTAAATACTTATTGAGAATTGTGGCATATTGCTCATTTTGGTGAACCTGATTGAGCACTGTGCTTCCTACTGGCATTGTATGTAATGTTTGAGTCTTGTTGTGTGATGCTCCCACCATCTCCACCCTCCTGCCCCTAGAGAGGCTCAGTATGGATCGTCATGTTGCTATAGCAAGCCATGCTTTTTTTCTGATCCAGCTTCCTGACAGCTAAGCTGTGATCACATTGCCAGGAGATATTATCTCACCTGTCAGTTCACTTCCGTGTGTTGGTCACTTTGAGTCGGAGACAGTGGCAGCAGGGTAACAATGGCACGCAGACAGATAGAGAGTGTGTACAAAAAAAGGCTGGAAGATGCCTTGGAGGCAGGGAAGGCCATGGATAAAGGTAAGCTTCATTATTTTCTATTCTTACACATTGTTGTTTGATATATATTACTTATAATTTGATTTATTTCCACATCATTATTACCAGCACTTACACATTGTTGTTTAACATATGTTACTTATAATTTGATTTATTTCCACATCATTATTTCCATGCTGAATAAACATTACATTTAGATACAATATATTTTTAGCTATGGGCTCTGATGATGATGTATATGTGAAAACCATTAAACTTGAAGCAGTTTCTACTAGTCTTATGGATACTCATCCAGAATGTATCTAAAAATGTATGTGTCAATGCATTATTGCATTTCTGTCTATAAAGATCCATTTATATATTGAGCTGTCTCGACACATATTTTTATGTTCTCCAGCTAGATTTAACATCTGTAACAAATTTCTTGTTATTATACTGTCCTTTGATGACAGTTACTAATATAAATTTTGTATATGTGTATAACTTGTCACCCTCAAGTCATAACAGGGCTGAATCTTGCCCTCACGCTCTCACTATAGATGTATTTTGTATTCTGAATTTGAAGGAGAATTCACTAAAGTAGAAGTCCTGAAGGAAGTGAAACTGGATGCAACGTTAGGTGGTGTTTTTGCTGTGAGATACTCATATGATGGAGAAATGCTTGCAGTCGGATTCAGAAATGGTGCAATTCAGGTAGGAACTGAACATAACATGATTTAGTTAAATGTGTAATGACATATGTTTTCGTAAATAACATTGAATATTAATTTCACTATGCGTTTTGATGATGACAGAAATTAATTGTTGTTTTAATCAATGGAAAAACACAAAAGACATGTTACAACAGAACATATATATTACAGATGAACAAGTTGAAAATGACAGAAAACAACTCTTTTCATTAAGTAATTTCTTTATACATTTATTAATTTTCTTTAATTCTTATTGTCGAATGTGAAAGCATTACTGATCAATGTGTGCTCTCAGCTGTATGTGTTGCATGATGTTTGCTGGCTGTTGTTAGTTGTTATCATCACGCACGGGGAAAATGATCAAGGAGATACGAAAAACAAGACATGGAGGCTATGCTGTAATGTGCATGCAGTTTCACACCAAAGAGCACCACATCTTGCTAGCTAGCACTTCTGAGGGGTATGTGTATGCATGTAACACAGAGGATGGCACTCACAAGCAGGTGCTCACAGGTACGCCATGCTTGCATATTATAAATGCATTTATATTCACAAGGCTTTCACAATCTGAGTTTGTTAGCGCAGACTTTTCACTAGAAGGTCGATACAGTTGAAAAGGTATTGACTGTTAGTATTTGAGTTTACAAGACCAGAACAATTTAGACTAGACAGTGGTTTCTTTGCAGTGGTAAAAGTTTCAAATGAGTATTTTTTGCCATGTCTTAAATTAGGAAACACTTACTTTTGGAGGATCTAAATTGATAGGTTATTTTCAATAATTTAGCTGTTGTGTATCATAATTTGTGAAGTGAACACATGACCTGTAATCTGTCTTGTGTGAAAAGGTAATAATTTTAACGGTGGATAATGTTGTGCTGAAAGAACTAATCCATAGGTGATGCGTGCTTCTTTGTGATGTCAATAGTATCAGGCAGACTAAGCTTCAATCTCAAACTGAACTGTTTTCTTATGGCACATTTGCATAGCCATAATATGATAGAGAAAATCCACTGCGTCTGATATAATACTGTTAAGTGCAAAATGAGAAATAAATACAGCTTTTGGAAGCAATTAGAACATGTTCTCAAGTAACACCATACTTTTTAGTATAATCAGGAAATCTGCCCAGGTCATAAAACTATTGATGCTTCAACCATGGCAGCACAAGGACTGGAATAATAAAAGCAATTGATTCTTGGGCAGCTTATGAGAAAGGGCATCACAAGTAGTCTATTTTTTTCTGATTTATTGTCTTACAAACTGTCATTTACATTTTTAAGACGACTTATATCTAGTCTACAAAAGGAATAAATTTTATAGAAAAAACAAATCAACAACAAACCCCCCATCCCACCCAGATGATACATAGAGATTATTAAAGGTCACATGCAACCAAAAAATCAAACATAATTAAAACACAATTATCACTTCTTCATGACATATAATATGCATTGCTGATTATGAAAAAACAAATAAACAAAATTATAAGCGTATAATCGCAAATCAAAAGTGCAATATTTTGTACTTGGGTTTACCTCCCTCGAAACGAACCCAGTCAGAGCGGGTGGGTGTGCACTCAAGTGTAACGGCTGGTTCATTAGCAGATGCCGCCTTCACGGGTCATTGTGTGTGTATATATAGAAAGTTGGGTTTTGTAAATACATGCTCATTTTTTGTGTATGACATTTTGCAATCAACAGACATCATAACATGTCATGTGTTCAAGTATCACACCTGCCTGTCTGTGTAATTACATAATGTGACAGAGACCGAACTCGGGCCATAAATCAATGTGTTTTGTTTATGGTGTATAGCCTGATTGGTGTTAAGTTCAAATTGCATGTGGTCAGTGATCACAGTTGTGTATTGAATATTGTCATTAGCAGACAGGCAGGCAGACACACACACTGGTGTCAATAAAACAAGACATTGAGTTTTGTCTGTGACAGCGACATATCTATATCACAGTTAGAAATCGTGTCAACTCTAAATAATGACATTGCTTTTAAGTATCGAACTGAGAAAGTGACTCGGTAAGAAGAACGTGTGGTGAAATAGATAAATGAAATTATATAAACAGTTTATTTACTGTCATAACATACAAAAAGCTCGCGCCTGTGAGATATCAACAAAACATTATGAAACTAGCTCACACCAAAGCCTTCACTGAGTATTCACCAGACAGCCCGCTTCCAAGTTGCGTGAACCTATTTCACTGCGCACGTGCTATGAGCGCAGCCAGCTGTTGAAACCCGTATTCCCCAGAAAAGTCTGGGGAAAATTAGTGAAACGTTTGAACTCCGATTTCACGCGTTTTTTTTCATCGCGTTATTTTTCAACTTTATAAGTTGAATTTGCATTTTTGACGCTTTTTTTCGGTAAGTCCATACCGAAAGGTATCAGAATCTGCAAAGTTGTGTTTTACGTTGCATGTGACCTTTAACCTTGTGTGTTTCCGTATCATTAATATCATATCTTAGGAATAAAAATTGTATTATGCGAGCCTTTGGCGAATTGTACGTGAATTTATATATGAAGAGAATCGAGCATTCACTTAAGAATGCTTAGCGGTACACCAAGGTGAAGGTCGTTCTTGACGGAAGCATATGGTTGTGACTAGTCGCTAATACAGTGCAAACATAACTGATGCCTAAAATAATATCTTTCTGTCTAAAAAGAACAACAAAATTAGGCAGGGTTTTCTTGGTAGTGTTTCTATTTTCATTGTGGGTAATCCCCTCATCAGTATCAGTTTCTGATAGCTGATGGAATCGATTCGTCATCTTTTTTTGTTGTGACCGATGGATTGAAATCCTTGGTTGGTGTTTTTCTTAGACGATAGCCTGTCACTCGTGCTACATAATCCGTACCTTCAGTTTGAACGAAGTTCTCCGTTTCATGTTTTCCAAAGTCAATTACTGCAGTAACGACTCCAGAACCTCTGTCATCAATCCGTACAGAATCACCAATTTGGATAATGGGGGCAGCCATGTTTGTTTACAAACCCGTCCATGCTATGTAAACTCGCGACAACGTCATCAATGAAATGTTAAATGTTTTAGGGTTTGCATGGCATGTATGGAGTTTTGAGAAAGTAGTTTGTGGATTGACGTAATTTGCAAGTTTATCAGATTGCTTTATTGCACCAATAACACCCTACATTAGATGATAAATAGTTTTACTAATGAAATTATAATTAAAAGGAGCCAAGAGGTTGTATTCATTTAAAGAAAATAATCCTGAAACTTTAGCAATAAAGACAAGCCAAATATTGCAGACTTGCATGGGCTGTATTGGATATATTTGTTTCAGTTTCAGACTTGGATGTGACTAGTTTCAATTATTTCACTGTTTTGAAAGGTTTGTTGTGAATGATAAACTAGATGAATGTAATTGGCATATAATTTGATATGCATTTGGATGTTTTCATTTCCAAACTTTAAACTGTTACTTTGTTGTTCACATGTGTTTCACAACCTTAGGCATGCTAAAGGTGGTTTTGACACTAGTTAAAAACATATTTCATGAAGTAATGGTTGCAGAAACAAATATGATAACAATAATTTCTGGGCTTAAATATTGTGGCTAGTTGCCTGAAAGGTTTTCGCACAGACTGACACTATAGCAACAGCATGCACAGCTGCTGCACAACTGCTGAAGGGTTAATCTTGTATAAATATTTCATCCTCTCTTTAGCAACCCTTATAATTGATTGTCAATGTTTGGTGTTTCTGCAATCTAAATTTCTAAGAATAAGAATTGTTCAACATACTACTTGGTTGTTGATCAATAGCAGTAAATCACATGAATTCATTTACATTGTTGGAATATAATTCTTTGTTAAAATATTGATTCTGTCAGTGCATTAACAAATGTGAGTGCAAACACATTGACATTGATCAACTTCACCATGCTCTCCAGGCATCAGAACCTTCATTAGGGATGTATGAGCTTGACTGACACTTTTATTGCTCTTGCACACAAATTACAGAGGCATGTGATATTTTGGTGAAAATTAACTGTTATCATTCGACAGACATTCTGTTGGCAGACTGCTTCCTACACATGTTACATATGTCACATATAGCAAAAAAATATCAAATGAGTATGGCCCATCAGCTTTTGAAATGACTGGCAAGTTTAGTATGTTATCATATTATAATAATTAGGCATCATAATGATTACCCCAAGTCAGTGCTCACACATACATTGTACTTGTCCATATGTCATGACAATTCCCATAATGACCCTCTATGAAGAAAGTATCTCCATAAAAGCAAATGCAGAGATTATTTATAAACTGTTAAAAAAAACCCACCCACACAGACCAAAAATAATGTACACTACCAACGAGCAATCATCGAAAAAAAATTGGTAGGCGTCTTTTTTCAGATTTTCCTATTCAGGTTCTTATTGCAGATAAGTATAACATGGTTCTCTGTTGTTTTTTGTTTCCTGTAAAAACTGAGCGATTCCGCATTTGCAAACTTCACATCAAATGTAAAATGATTCTATTTTAAAGTGATGACTGATATATCATGAACATTTGGACTTCCTGGAGTCATGACTTTTTAGTAAGTGAAGTGAGTTTTCTAAGAATTAAACACGTTTTCAGGCCCTGACAACTTTGAAGATATGTTCCATTGTGAAGTGTTTCAAACACTGAAACAGTAGTTCCCAAAATCATTTGTGTTCGCTTGTAAAAAATGTGATCGATGGCTTGGTCGTTTGGTCACTGCGACCAATCTTCGATTATATTAATTAATCAGAACACCACTAATTGACACACGGATGAACATATGTATTGTTGTCATTGTAGCATTAATTAGTTTACTCACTGCACATGTGTAGATACAAGGGGGCATTTAGGTCAGTACCATGCCACACTACCCCTTGCAGTCGTCACTGCTCGACACTGCCTTGGAAGGGATTGCTCAAGTCTTTGGATTTTTGCTAGGGGAATTCTTTGCCATTCCTCCTGCAACGTGTTAGCAAGTTGAGGAAGACGATGACATTTATGGACGCATCTATCAAGTTCATCTCATAGATGGTCAATCGGGGTCAGATCAGGTGATTTGGAAGGCCAGGAAAGGACACTGACGCTTGCATCAGAGAGATAAGCACCTGTTACACAAGCTGTATGGGGTCAAGCATTGTCAAGCATAAAAAAAGAGTGAGGAAGTGAGGTCGCAGGATTTGGTCAATGTAGTGATTTGCTGTAAGATTGCCTTGAACGACCACAAGCTCTGATCTACCAGTGTAAGACATGGCTCCCCACACCTTGATGCTTCCTCCACCAAATCTGTCCACCTGTCAAACACAGTTCGGCGCAGAATGCTCGTGTCGATGTTGATAGAAACATTGTCTCCCAACCCGTCATTGCAGGAGGAAACGCAATTCATCACTGAACTAAATTCGTCGCCAGTTCCCCAGGTTCCATGCCTGTACCCTGTTGCACCATTGGACACGTCGTTGTCGGTGTAGTTGTGTCAGGACAGGTCCAACTTTTGGTCAGTATGCTCAAATTCCCACTTCTCTCAGACGATTTCTGATGGTTTGGTCTGAAATTCTTAGAAGAGCAGGGACATGTCCTGCAGTTTTTTGTTGCTGTAGCAAATCGATATAGTGTTATAGGGGATGAAGTCTATCCACTTCTCCACAAAAGCTGCTCAACAGAATTGATTGAGCTTCTACGTGTGTTTCATTGGGACTCTAAAGGTGTCCATCTCATACCTTGTTCATCTAATTTCTTAATTTTGTCACTTCTACAGATGTTTGAACTTAGTTGAATTTGGTTCTATTCATCCTGTTCGTCCCATACAACAGGGGGTGTACTTTATCGACTTCTCCTCAAAAACCACTGCACAAAACTCATTTAGCTTACATATGTCTTTTATAGAGACTCTAAAGGTGTGCATCTCATATTTTGTTTTTGTATATTGTAGTTTTTTGTATGTTTAGAGACATTTGAACTTAGATACATTTTGTTGAATTTCTCTTTGATGATAGTGAAATAGGGGGCCTATATCAGATACAATCTGGGAGGAGTAAGTCTATCCACTTCTCAACAAAAACTGCTCAACAGAATTGATTAAGCTTATAGATGTATTTCATTGGGACTTGAAAGGTGTGCATCTCATAGTTAGCATTAGTTGCATAGATGTTTATTGAACTTGTTTGTGAATTTTGTTCAATTATTGATCTTTATATGTCTTATGAATGTCAGCGGGGGCATCCGTGTCCCTGGACACAAGTTTTCTTGTTTGAAGAGTGTATAAACTTCCAAATATTTCTACTCACAAAATTGTAAAGTGAAATGGTTATACATTGTATTTGCTTTTGGTAGGCCTTAAATGTGTGAGGACATTTAGGTAAAAATATTCATCCATATTTGTACAGATATTTACAATAAATTGTTGACAAATGAATTAAAACATAGGCATTGTATGTTGACAGACTGGTGGAATTCTCCTGCCTACCTGTCAGAAACCCCTAGCCCTTGGCAGTAAGCCTGCTCTTAAGCTAATTCCCATAGACTAAGCCTACAAACATACACAAAGAGGATTGTCTCCACCAAAATACCATGTATTTGTTTGATAGACAAAAGCTTTACACCTGCTATGTGTGTGCCCCAAAGCATATTTTGGTTACTTTTATCACTAAATAATACCCTAGAAATAATATTCTTAACATGCGGATGTCAACTGTGTTCTGTAGACAACTTAGATCTTGTTTTAAAATGTTTTTGAAGCATTATACTTTTTTGTATAAGGAACCAATATTATCTTTGTTTAGACATATTTTGTAAGCATAATCAGATTATTTGAAATAGAATTAATCATGCATCGTATCCACTATAATACATAAACACCCCTGAGACTTATAAAGTGTGATAAAAATATACAGAGTTGAATTTCATGTCAGATTGTGCAGTAGAGAACAAAGTTTGATCAAACATTGATGAAACTTTATTCTGTCAGGTAATACTTTTGCTACACACTTTTAACTGTTGAATAATTACTGCTGTATAAAATATGTAAATAAATGTTATACATTGTCGGTTACCTAATATAATGTTTGTCTTAAAGCATCTAAATGGCTGCCCTCAAATGAGATCTGTTGACATATTATTAAAGTTTGTTAACATGAACATGATAATATTTCCACTATACAAAAAAGAAAGGTAGAAACTGCACCCAGTCCTGCACTGTTGGTATTCTTAGAAAAAACCAGTATGAGTATGAATATCATGAGTTTGGTCAGGGGTTAATACAATGAATATGGTAGTTTTAGTTTAGCAAAGATAAAATTTTATTCTTTGTTTAAAATAATGAGTCAGCAGTAAAAATTTTATTCTCCTTGTGATACATCCTACATGCATGTTCTGGACAGCCATAAACCGACTTCTGTCAGTGAAAAAGACACTTCTAATCTTGAGTATCCTTATTATGGCTTCTTGAACCTTCTAACACACAACACGGTAGAATACATATATCATTTAAGGCAGTGTTTTGAAATTAAGGGGGATCCTGGGGTCCTTGGGCATTGCCTCTTCGAGAATCTGGGACCCCTAAATCTTTACAGTGTAACATTAGGGTAATGACAAGGACCCCTTGACTTTTATGCCTAGCACTGGTACAATGACAGGTCTTAAATAATAAACCTTCAACACTCCTCATTCACAGTGGTCATTATCTTGACCTGTTTATATATATACATGTATATATATATGTGTGTGTGTGTGTGTGTCTGTGTTCATGGTTTTACGTGACACAGAAATGTGTGTCCTGTACACACAAATGTATAGAATGACCGCAGACAAGAATATGTAATGTGTGCCAAGAATGTACAATACTATGCATTTGACAAAAAATGATAATATTCAATAATTAAGGTACAGAGTTACAGATAACTTTTTGGGTCATTGAGTTATGTACTCGCTTGTGTTCATCTCATTTGGGTATCCTAATTTTTCCTTTGAGTAACCAAATGAATTGTACCCACTTTAGTGTGACAGTACATGTGCATTTCTACATGTATTATGATACTTTTGACTTCACACTCGCTCATTCACTTCAATCAGCTGATAAGATCAACATATTAATATCAACCATTCTATGTCTTTTGTGTCGACAAAATAGTCGGACAGTGAATATTGCCTTGTTATACATTTGTCAGTGTCGTTATATATTTTACTTAAGTTCCATTTCAGTTTGAAAGTGTTAGTTTTCAGCTGAAACATTATCATATATTTTGTGTCTATTTTCTTTCAGAAAAGAATAATGAAATTAACTGTCTTGATTTCTGTGAAGATGGGTACAACTTTGCTACCTCAGGCAAAGACCTTGCAGTCAGAATATATGATACCAAAACTTGCCAGGTAATGTCTCATTGTGTTATATCCCCATGGATCCAAACATTAGTGTTGTTTGTCACATTCAAAGAAACAGTATTCAATGGATCACCGTTCATTTAATCTCTTTGATTGACATTTTAGAGTTGATTAGTAAGTATCAATAACACAGGCAAGATGCTTTATGGATGACAATTCCATAAAGCCTCTTGCATTTGTTATTACTGTTAGTTTTGTTGCACATCTAAATGTTTTGTTACATTTATTATTTGGTTTATGATTCTGGGTCCTGTTCCACAAAGCGTTCGTAGCACTAAGATAATCGTAACTCCTATACTTTAACATAGACTTATGACTGTTGCTAAGTGCTATGATCGCTTTGAGGAACATATCGTAAATGTTTGTGTAATTTGTTTTCTATTATGAATAGGCTACATTATCAATACACAATAAGACAGAACTCCCAGATGATGTTGAATATTCCACATTGCAGTTGGTGAATGAATATGATGGCTATGACAACTCTAAAGATCCTTCAGATATGAAGTGCTTGGGAAATACACAGAGAGTCTTTGCTTTGAAATACCACCCCGAGTACAACGACATATTTCTGACTGGTGGATGGGACAACCATGTCAAGGTTAGCAGCTCAAAACCATGACCATTTTCTAAAATATAGTAATACGTATACATTGTACTCAATTCTTTCCCTCTGTAAGTGAATCTATTTATATTATGTTTCTAATGTTAACTTTAATCTGGTCAATCTGTAAAGCACCCCAACAAGTATTGTTGTGTTGATGTTGTTAATGTTTTTGATATTCATACCTGTCACTGTGTGACTTTAGCCAGTTTAGCCTCAGTCTAGTAAATAATGCTTGGTCCAGTAAGCTCAGCTGGTAATAATCTAATAACAATGACAGAAAATGAAGTTTTGGCTTTTAGACCTCAGACAGTTAGGCACATTATATGCACAGCATTTTTTTGGTGCAAAACCATAACCTAGGCTTTCAATCTTAAAACCTTGATCCATATCCCTTCATAAGGAACAGTGCAGTTAAGACCATCTTGAATATTGCTGACCAGTTACCTCTTGAAGGATGCTAGGTTTCTTATGTAAAATATATAAATGCTTTCTTCAGAGATGTTGAGCAATGAAGTACTGGTGTAACAAACTAAAGAGAAATTCATTTTGGAAGTTTTAATGTGTGATTGATGACAGTGCATGAAACACATGTGTCATATGTTAGTTAATTAGAATGGTGGCTGTGACGTTACAGGATATGTCTGTATAGAACACGGTTCAACACCTCTGTATATGCTATCAGCTTTGCCCATGAAATCAATTCTTCAAGCTTTGAAAGGTATGATAGGTAAAGATGTCCAAGACACATTTAATGTTTATGGTTGTTTTCAGATCTGGGATTCTCGATCAACAGATGGAATCAAGCGACAGATATGGGGACCTCACATTTGTGGAGACAGTTTGGATCTGAGGGTAATAATTACTGATATGGTGCTAAATCCCTATGTTATGAACATTCAGAACTATTGCCCTAAACAGCATTTGTAGCTTCTGTGATGGGTTTATAATATTCATATACAAACATACAGTTCACAAATTTCAGTGCATTTGTCTCTATATTGTTATGTTGAAATATTGAAAAGGTCAATGTCACACTTATAACCATCGAGTTATTTACAAGCATAATAGAGGTAACTGGTTAAGCTGTTTGAGTGAACTGTGGACTGTTAGTAATCATTCAAATCCCACATCCAATCTCATTCAAATCAGATCTTTGACTCCCACATCAGAGTAAAAGATCTAATTTAAGCTGGGGGTTCTGTTTTGGCACAGATTTTGTGTACATGTGTTCATCTAAGCAATAATTCTTCCCTACTATTCAGGGGTATGACATTCTGACTGGATCATGGGTAGCTGAAGATGCTTTAAAGGTGTGGAATTACACTGATGGCAAACCCAAGAAGACGGTGAAATTCCCAGGCCCTAAGGGTGCCTACCTGTATTGTGCTCAGTTCTGTGACAACAATGTGGTGCTGGCAGGGGGAAGTGGGACTAACAGTGCTAAGGCAATCAATATGGACACCAATGAGGTGAGTATGGTTGTGTGCATACATTCAAGCAGCTGGAGTATTTTTAAGTTTTGGAGCATGTGTTATTTAGTCTGGTGTTTTAACAAGTGTTTCCATTTGTATTTGTGGATAGTCATGTTTTACCATGACTTAATATCTAGAATGTTCCTATTCTAAAAGATGCACATTGGTCAATGGACCTATTATAATATTATCAATATTTCATACATTACTTAATTAATTAATAACAACATGAGTCCTGTAGATCATGAATTCAACATGTCACCAAATCAAGGGGTCCTTGCCATAACCCCAGTGTGTAAAGTTCAAGATAGTGGGTCTCTAAGATTCGTTAATGATAGCTGTAAAACTATTTACTTAGTTTTTATTTAGAACAAAAACTGCTGTATTTGTAAGGTGGCCTTTACTGAACAATAGGAAGTTCAAGTTATTGATTCTTTAAACCGCTAGACTTCTATTTGTTTGTTTTACAATGCTGATTCAACAGTATTTCAGCAATATGATTGAAACTTGTAGATGATAAAGACTGGACCAGACAGGCCAGTGATTGATATGTATAGCAATGTCCCACACCATCAGAGTTCCATGACATGCAATTAACCAAGACGCCAAGTACATTATGGGTTGCTGAGATCATTTTGTGGAACTTACCCAGTCTGTCCAGAAATTCTGATTCATTTAACAAAAGAAATAGGTCAGAAGATTGTGATACGTATCGATTCATGAAACTTATGTATCGTGGCATCCCTAGTTATTACAGAAAATGAAACATTTTTTCTAAGTAATACACCTAACTGCTAACTAGAAATTATTAACCAAGTGTATTTTCAGGTGACAAATGTCATACACATGGAAAATAAATATATTACTCAATGAAGTTGAGGACCACATGATTCTTTCACATTACTATTGTTCATTTGTAAAAGAATGTTGTGGTTCTTAGCCAATTTACCCAACCCTAGCCACATTTTAATGTGAGTTATAACATGAGTTATAATGCATTGCATAAGAGTATGTGTTTGTGACAGGTGATAGGTAAGGTGTGCAAGTCTACATGCCTCTTTCACCATGGCTGTTGACTGTGATAGTGAAGTATCTGCGATTAATTTAATCAATACCAATCTAGATTAAATACAATGCAAGTCTTGATAGCTGAATTCCGCATTATAAAAATAACTATATTTAGAGAAAAAAGATTCTACAGATATTATAGCTTACCGTTTAATATGATGTATGAGTTAAATGTGTTTTTGTGGCAGGTGATTGGTGAGGTGAAGATGATCAAGCCTGTGCAGGCCCTTGACACCACCATGGGAGGGAGGCTGTTTGCTGTGGCTGGAGCTGATGACTGTATCAAGTTGTGTGCCATGTCATGAGGATGTGCTCATCCATGGTACTACAGTGCATAGAGAGTTGTCTCCCATATCAGCATGCACATGCCATGTCCTCATTTGTAATGTGACCTGGACAAAGCTCTTCCATCTGGTCTGCCTGTCAGTGTATACACTACAACAAGAAGATAGACAAAAACTATACCAGGAACTGCCTGTAGCCTGACAATATGTTTGCTTCGAGCATGACTGTGATCACAGAATTTATAAACCACACGAAATTTGACCCTGTCATCTCAATGGTTTTGGGATAGTGAGAATATATTGTCATTTGTCAGTGTTTCATGCTCATTTCACATTTCCACTCACAAGTTGCACTACAAGTTCTGTTGTTACAGTAAAGTTTATGAAGTCATATGTATTGTGATGTATCTTATTACTTTTGCTGTTCTTTAATACATGCACATATACATGCTCTGCATTGTAGCAGAAACTTACATTCCAAAATGTTGTGATCCTCATAATACAAAAGTAAACATCCATGTATTCTCTCCCTTATAATCTGTTATCTGCAGTGAACCTTTAACCAGATGTTCAATCCAACAAACCTGGAATTTACATGGATTGTATGATGTTTGATTGATAATGTCGGGTGATCCTTGATTTCATTTCAGTAGTACGATTTGCCATGGGGAAACTTGTCGATTTTTGTTTGCTGATTAAGCAAATATGTTTCTTCCATTCTTGAGATGCTTGCAGTATTGGTTGCAGTACATGTTTCATGTCTGTCCACTGCATCACATTGCTTATTTAATCTTTATGTTTGTCTACTTCACCTATATCACCTTTTGATTATTTGGACTTGGCATAGATTTGATGAGTGTATGTTTTAAATGAAACAAAGGCAATTCCAATGGATTCAAGTGCAGTCAAGTTGATTTATTGTACACATGTGTATAATTTTCAACAGTTACAATGAACCTATCAGAACAAACAGAAAAGGGAAGAAAGCTATTAAAAAATCTGGTAATTGGATAGGAACAAAATAATACAGCATGTGTGAAATTCCATGGCAATACCAAAACATGACCATCTCATGTATTGACCAGCATGTCAGTTATTTTTATACTGTTACACAGAAAGCTTGTTTTAGCCTTCCTTATAATATTGAATCTGTTCTGTATGCAGATAGTGTGTTGTGTTATGGTGGTTGTGTTCATAGTGCTTTAGTTATATTGAATCTCCCAAGCAGACATATTGCCCTTTCATTCACCAGGCAATTGAAGGGAAATAATTCTGGAAAGGAATGTATGTTTCTTAGGTTTGTACCATGTTCCTTTTTATGCCTAATGTCTTGGCATCGCACTTCATCAAACAGTATTTTATACATATAGAAAGTATTTTGAAGTTTAAATATTATTGTTGTAGCCTATTTAATAAGTTATAAATATCAATGAGACTTCATGGAAGATTGTTACTATACCTGTTAACATCCCTGTATCTAAGTGAATTAATGTGGTTTTGATTGAGGTTTCACTAATTTTCAGTGATTGGAACCACAGTATATCTTTTTTGGCTCCATTTGTAATCACTACATCATTGTACATGCGTTAATTGTTACCAAATCTGTGAAAGTTGTTCTGTCCAGCATTATACACACATGTTGTATTATTTTTGTTTATAAAGATACTTCATGTTATCATTTTGTTATGAATAAATTCATTCTGAAGATATTCTGGTGTTTGATTTATTTTGAATTGAAACACAGATCAACGCACGCGCACACACACACATAGCCATAAATTATGAATGGTCCCTAAGTGATGTGGGGACAGAATGTTACATTGTACATGCCTCTAAGCAAACATCCCTGCCGTGAAGATCCAGGTTAGAAATGGTCTTCAGCAACAATGCAAGAGGCAACTAAAGTGATTGGGTGGTCAGGCCGGTTGATTTGGCTGACACCTGTCAGCGTATCATAACTGGATAGATTGATGCTCATGATGTCAATCACTAGAGTGTCTGGTCCAGAATAATTACAGACCACCGTCATATACATGGAAACTTGCTGAGTGTGATGTTAAACAACAAAGACCCTTTATCAGCACCAAAAATAGCTGTGAATGTTTTCCCCAAATGAAAGCAAGCAGATGTAAAGTAAAGTAGATATTTTATTTACGTGAAATGGAATTACCACTTGTTACAATGACATGTGTGTATGATAAAAGAATTAACATGAAATCATACATACAGATAATTTACCCATCAAAACATAAATTATTGTAATGTTGATCTCTGCAAGTACTGTCATTGCCCTTTACACAAACCTGTCTTAAAGGATTGTAAATGGGTCTGTCAATACCTTATTGAATTAGAGAGTCTAAATCAGTCAATATCTGACAGAACAGGGTCTCTGGGTGAAGGTTATCCTTCCCCCGACATGTTAGAAACCGGGGTTGAGAATCCGTTGAAGAACAGAGTCATGTCAACATAAGCTGAAACAATATAAGACATTGTCTGATACAGAAATAGATATTTCCAAAAAATGCTATACCACAGAAATGAATGAATAGCTTTATCATAATAATTGATATCACCCGCAAGAGATATGAGCATATTCTAAATACATCATGGAGGGTGATCGTTTCTAAATGTTTTGCTTTCTGGAGAAATAGCCTGAGTTCCCTGTCTAGACAAATGTACAAGTTACAAATAATGCTCCTCTCTTATTGCCACTCACATACTTTGTTTTAGTAGGAAGGCCCAGAGTACGAAAGCACAGAGGGGTCAAAATGGTGTTTTGAATTTTCTTTTCCACAAGTAGTAATAACCACTTTTTTTCTGGTAATTACCACTTTTTCTGTTAAATACCACTTTTTTCTGGTAATTAAAATATTTGAAACTGGTAATTGCAAACTTTTTCTGTTAAATACCACTTCTGAAACTGGTAATTACCACTTTTTTCTGGTAAATACCACTTTTGAAACAAGTAAATTATATAGAACTTTTAAATTTTACCTATTCTTATTTATATTCATTTCATGCGTTTTAAAATAATCTTTTAATATCACAGTTGAACTTTCATTGTACATACTAAATGTTATGTACATTTTTGCCATTTTAAAAAATAACGCCATGAATTGATTGATGCATTTAAGTTTGCATATAGTTTCTATAAATATATCTTAATCATTTCAGAATATCTAGATACACATGTATCATTTTCAGCTTCGGTATTAAAGAAAATCCACAGCTTACAATTTTGTTCATTACAGGAATGTCTTGTCCAAATCTTGAGTTTATTTTGTGCATTTTCATTTTTTGATTGCTTAACTTACTCGTTTAAATAAAAAGAGGATACTAAACGACCTTCCGTATGATACCTTTTTTTTTAAACGAGTTAATGATATCAAACGAGCAAAAGCGAGTTTAGTATTCTGTTCATTACTCTCCAACATAAATTGATAGAAACTGCCTACAGTGTGGTGACTCTCAGCTTTCCGCTAGTCAAGCAGGGTCTAATACCATTGTGACAGAGAGTAATTAGCATTGTCACATCATAACTGTAAACCATTTTATTATATAGGTAGTATTTTTCCTGTACCACGATTGGTCAAAAGACCGTCACATGATTGACTACAAAACACGATATTGACTTGAGTTTTCTGATAAATTACGATATTGACTTGGGTTACTAAAAATAGACAAGGAATCCCGTACGAAGGGGCCTCCCCCGCTTTTCAGCCAATCAGATCACTCGGATAGATGGCACAGTGTGTGCATTAAAAGTTTATGTTAAAACCCGTTTCTCTTTCATTATATAATAAAACAATTATAGACTCTTGCAGAGGTCGATATCGGTTTTTATTGACCTGAGAAAAACAATATCGACCTCGCAAGCTCGGTCGATATTGTTTTACTCAGATCAATAAAACCGATATCGACCTCTACAAGAGTCTATAATTGTATAATATCGTCCCCAGAAAATTAAAAAAAACCCATTTTGATCCCCCTGAGCTTTCTTAGTGAGAGATATGTCCATATTACAACTTTCAATGATGGAAAAGTGCCAGTCAGAGACAAGTGCCAAAATACCATCATGTCTGTCAAGACAAATGTCTCTACATTAATAAATCGTCCTTCTTTGCATGGGCTCTCTGCTTATCAACGGGTCTTGGTTTAGTCTACCACCTTGTGGAGTGTAAGATTGTCAACTGTATATGTGTGGTTTGCTCCAAATAGCTCTTGAGTCAGCTCCCTGTGTCATAGTTGAGTTTACACAGTAGACAATCACATGATCACAAAGTCATCTGATCTGGCCTTTTTATACACATTCCTGCTTCTCCAACCACTGATAATACAGACAGGGTCAGTATGGTGATTTAGTTCGGCCAATGTATAGTGTCCGTCAAGGGGAAAATCTCTCATTAATTTGGTGGAGTCTACTAATGCCTACAGGGAATAACGTCTACAGTCTTAAATAAACAATTTTACGCACCAGTGGTTACAAATTTCGACATCTGCACTAACTTGTTCCTCTCAGTTTTCTCCAACTTCTGAAGCACTTTCGCTATTTAAGCGAAAATGTTAGGGTGAGCTCCCTGGACAGTCTTGTTGAGATGTGAATGCCAACCCTCGAGATGATTGTTCGTCCTCGGGCCTTCTGCTGTTCTTCTCACCCAACTGTTGACTTCAGGATCCTGCTGGTAGGCTTCACTGAAGCCGAGAGTCTGAACCTTCCTCCAGAGAACCTGTGTGTAGTGGAAGTAGCAGCCACGGATGTCACAGTTGGGGAAGACGGTCTCATCAGCGTTCCTGTGGATGGTTGTAAGGGGCCTGATTTCAAACAAACTGTCCAACTGTGGTGCACTTACCAAGGCAGCCTCCATGAACACACTTTCAGTGTACGCAGGTCTGTCGTCGGTTATTGAGTCTGTATCTGAAGCCATCTATCTATCTATCTATCCATCCATCCATCCATCCATCCATCCATCCATCCATCCATCTATCTATCTATCTATGGAAAAACTTATATAGCGCCATATCCAGAAATAAACTGCTCTGCAGTGCTTGAGACTCTGATGGAAAGTTAGTTTTTGTATGCTTCACGGAAGTAATGAGTCTTTAGCTGTGATTTGAATGAGTCCAGGTCGTGGTTAGATCTCAGGTGTTGATTCCACAACGGCTGGTGATGCGACTGGTTTTTAGTGCAGGTGGCTGAAGGAGAAACTGGTGAGAGGATCGAAGAGATCTGACAGGTTGATATTTGGTTATCATGCTGGAGAGATACTGAGGGGCTTGATTGTGGAGACACTTGAAGACAAGCAGGACAAGTTTGTATTTGATCCGCTGTGGCACTGGCAACCAGTGTAGATGTTGGAGAATTGGTGTGATGTGATCATGTCTCGCTGTTCTTGTTGCGACTCGGGCTGCTGAGTTTTGTACAACTTGTAACTTCCTGATCAGACATGATGGCAAACCTTGCAGGAGTGAGATACAGTAGTCAATGCGTGACAACACACAGGCATGGATCAAGGAGATGGCGGTTCTTTTGTTCATGTACCTTCGTACCAAGGCAATGTTGCGGATATGAAAATAAGATTTCCTGCAGACAGAGTTTATGTGAGACTCAAGTGTCATGTTTGCATCGAAAATGACACCGAGATTTCGGGCCTGTTTGCTTGGGCTGATCTTATGGTTGCCGATGTGGAAATCTGGTAATACAATGTCGTGACATGAATGTTTGGGCATTATGATAAGAAACTCGGTTTTGTCTCCATTCAGCTTTAGATAATGGGATGTCATCCATTCTTTTATCTCGTCCATGCATGTTTCCAGCACTGTGAAGGTGACAGAAATGAATGCCTTCACCGACGGTTTGAATGCCATGTATAGCTGAGTGTCGTCTGCGTATAGATGGAACGAGAGTCCATGTGATCGTGCGATGTCACCGAGTGGTGAAGTGTAGATGGTGAACAGAATGGGCCCCAACACTGAGCCTTGCGGCACACCATACAGTAAATCTGATGAGTCAGTGGTGAAGTGTAGACTGTGAACAGAATGGGCCCCAACACTGAGCCTTGCGGCACACCATACAGTAAATCTGATGAGTCAGTGGTGAAGTGTAGATGGTGGACAGTATGGGCCCCAACAATGAGCCCTGCGGCACACCATACAGTAAATCTGATGAGTCAGTGGTGAAGTGTAGATGGTGGACAGTATGGGCCCCAACACTGAGCCCTGCGGCACACCATACAGTAAATCTGATGAGTCAGTGGTGAAGTGTAGATGGTGGACAGTATGGGCCCCAACACTGAGCCCTGCGGCACACCATACAGTAAATCTGATGAGTCAGTGGTGAAGTGTAGATGGTGGACAGTATGGGCCCCAACACTGAGCCCTGCGGCACACCATACAGCAAATCTGATGACTCGGAGGAATGACCATCAATGACAACACGTTGTCGTCTGTCAGTCATATATGAATCAAATCAACCCAGAACTTGCCCAGTGATCCATATTCTGTATTGCAAGATGTCAAGCAACATGCGATGATCAATGGTGTCAAATGCAGCTGACAGGTCTAAGAGAACAAGAACGGCTGCTCCGGTCAAACCCACTGCTTCCAGGATGTCACTTTGCACTTTGAGAAGGGCGGTTTCAGTACTGTGATATTCACGGTATGCTGATTGCAGTGGTTCAAGATGGCTGTGAGTAGTGAGATGTTCTTTCAG